TATGGGTTGTTGTCGATGGTGGGTGAGGTAGGAACGGTGTACATTCTGGTGCTTCTTGGAGTACTGAATAGTGCGAAAACAGAGGCAAAAGGCGCGCAAAGCACGCGCGGGTGTGGGAAGGGGGTACTGCTGGGAAGCGTCGGACCAGGGGTCGCAGCATAATGAATCAGGTGGCGATAAAGATGAAAAAGCAGAGACGAAGCAGAGGACCGCCGTGATCAAACCCGACTGCTGCCAGGGCTAATTGCTCAGCTTCTTGCGAGCCGGACCAACCCGCATTTTTCGGATGCCCTGGGGAGCCTCTGCGCTGCGGTTCCAGTTTGCGGGCCAATGGCAACTAGGATCGAATGTTTGCGGGCAACAGAGTTTTTCCAGCTCTTTTCCACATTTTTACAAGCTTCTGAAGCCCTCAGTTATTAACACTCATCGGCGTCCACCGACCCTTTTTCTCTTCGCCTTTTTCGCACAACCGTTTTCTTCCAATTCTTTGAGCCGAAGGAGACTCACCTGCGATTTTTTGAGAGGGAAAAGGAAGAGGCAACCTTTCTTTTCTGCTACGTTCGTGTTAACCATTTCGGTCGATTAGCGTCCTGCTTGGACGAATTCTGTCCCGCTGCCCATCTTTTCGCACATTGACAGCCCCAGAAGACAAAATGACTGCGCCGCCCTGGTCCTGCAATGGGGCCGTGAGCGCTACCTGCTCAAATACGAAGAGAACGATCTGCAAGATACCACGCTGGGTCAGTTCAAGAGGTGTGCCGCGAAGTCACCGGCGTGCCGGTCAACAGCATGAAGATTATCTTCAGCGGAGGTAAGTCTGCAAACAACATCCAGTCCCACGCGCCAGTTGCATGTGCATGGGATTCCGCTTAAAACGCTATCTTGTTCCTGATCCTTGTAGCTACCCTGAAGGAGGATAATGTGACGCTGGGGCGCTATGGCGTATACACAGGGGCCACGATGAAGATGCTGGGTCGCAAGCACGGCAGCGAGAAGAGCGCGCCGGTGACAGCAGAGGAGCGCGAAGAAAACGCGCTGATCCACAAGATCGACCACATCACCAACGAGGCATCGGACCTGCTGCTGTCACGCATGCAGGCGTATCTGGCCGACGCACAACTGTTCATCGATCAGTTCCTGTCGACTGTGCACGAGAATTCGGAGCACGGCGAGGCGATGGCCGAGATCCGCGCGGCGGAGAAGAAAAAGCTGCATGACTCGTACCTGTTCATTAACGAGACGCTGATGCAGAGTTTGTTAAAGGTGGATTGCGTCGAGTGCCCGCCCGAGGCGGACAAGGCGAGGCAGCGGCGGCGGCAGGCTGTGCGCCTACTGCAGTCGTGGATGGACCAGATGGACCGCAAGCGCGACGCGGTCAAGGAGGCCGAGGCTAAGCTTGGCAACGCGTAGAAAACAAAAGTGCCTATATTCTCTTGTCATTTCTAGAAGCAACCATCACCAACGTCTGTGGCCTATGATACGTGTGAATTACTTGTACATTGAGGTGGATAGAGTGATAAGATGTGCCAGCGATATGGGCTAGGCGTAGGGTGGGAAAGGCTAGTGCGATGTGTGATAGCGCACATGGAGTGATATGCAGCCAAACAGCGGCGTGCTCTTACTGTGACGTAGTGGCAGCCGCAAATATCATGTCTGACCCGTGCTCGGACGCATCCGGCGATGCCTGGGTGCTGACTGCAGCCCACTGCCCAATGTCGCCCTCGGACAGCGCGACTCTGCATGTCGGACACGACAGATGCCTGACGAGCCACGACCTCAGGCACGACCTATGGAACAGGTGGTCGCACGGCAGCTTCTTGGCCGTCAGCAGCACTTCTCTGCAGATCGAGCATCTGTCGTTGAACCTAATGATATCCTCCTTGCTGGCGTCCGGGAACCTGCACCGCATACTCTCCACGGCACGCCAGAATGCAACCAGCTTGCGCACCTTGCGCAGCAGCTTGCTGGCGATGCTGCGGATATTCAGGAACACCAGGACGCTGACAATGTTCAGCGTGATGCCGTTGATCACCAGAATGTGCGTGTAGTGCAGGAGCGTCAGCAGCAGGATGCAGATGTCAGTGCTGAACTCGCACACAAGCACTGCGTCCGACCGTGCCTCCCACGACTCGGTGCTGTCGCTGTCCCATGCATACGCCAGATATTTTACCAGGGTCTGACCAACATCAAACAGGATTGTCAGAGCCTCGATAAACAGGATCCCAAACAGCGGCCGCAGCACTGTCCAGCACACGCCCGCCAAGACCGTTGCCAGGACCATCAGCATCGCCATCAGACCAACAAATCCCCACCGGATCCCAGGCTGTGCAGGCGACAGGCGCAGGTGCTCAAGGTGGTCCGCGCAAGCCCGCCGATCAGGTACAGTGCGCCAAAACAGCAGTAGGCGATGGTCCATATGGCCAGATCCTCCCAGTCTGCGTCCAATGTCGCGCGCACCGACACCACCTTGAATAGCACAAAGTTTAGTATACGATCGTACGAATGCTACAGTGTAATTCATTGCAGTTAGCATGCTGAATACCGGTCTGGAATGTATGACACAATGTGCACATATCAATGCGCATCAGTACATTAGTAATATTGAACGCGTTCCTTGCATGCAGCGTGTATACACCACACAGGATACCCTCGCATTTAGCCAGTGGTAGCCGTGCAACCAACTTACATGGGCGTCATTGAGTGTCAGCCTCCCGAATATAAACTGCACCAGAAGCTTGCGTGCTAGCGACGCCGTTGCCACCAAAGCGTTTACCAGGCCCTACAGCGATACATACACCATGCACGTACCAGCCGTGTGAAACTGTTAGCGCTAAGAACGCATCTGTGAATACATGCAAGCACATGACCAATGCCAGGCCCATGCCTGCCTTCGCATGCAGGACAAGTCCCTCCCTATCCCCTGACCCAGTGTAGCTGCACAGGGCTGCTAGTGTGAGAGCAGCGGGGGTTTGCAACTCGGGGAAACTAAAGGCTGGCGACCTCCACATGGCTTAACCTACCAGCATCCGCCATTTGTTCGAGAGCAATGCTACCAGCAGCCAGCTGACATTGCACCAGAGATCCGGCGAATAGTACTTGACTGTGAACTGGTCGCGGTACGCTATATCACCATTGCGTGCCTGCGAGATATCCATGTGGCCTATGTCAACAAAAGAGGGCGGTGTTCCGTCAGTATACTGCCAAATAAAGTCTGTTGCGCCTGTTTGGCGAGTGGTCTGGGATAACAGTTTTTCGCGAAAACTCGTCCAGGGACCGCCGCGGCGCCGTGCTGAAGAACAGCCCGACGAGCGCAGCTACCGATAGGGCCGCGTATGATGTGTCGATAAGCAGCATTCGGGACATTAGCAAATTCCGCCTTTTTCTCCGAGAAGAAGCCGTGTGTTGTGTGAAAAGGAACTGAGTGAATGAGAACCCCTGGCTGGTGCTGGGGGAGGAGCCCGCTCTGGGAGGTTTGTGCCAAGCAATAGAGGAGTAGTGCTGGGGCAGGATATGCTTTGCTGCCAAACGTGTGACTAGTGTTGCAATAGGAAGCGTGGAATGAGTGGAGAAAAGAAGAAAAGAAGGCTCAGGGAGGAGAAAAGCAAGAATGCACGGTGGCATTTTGACCGCTCTAAATAGCCCCTTTGGTCAACTCTCCCGCTTCAGCTGGCTTGTTGCACTCGATTGGTCACAAGGGCAATTGGGATTTATTGCCATTCAGGCTTGGAAGTTTACAAAGGCTTGGAGCTGCTGTGCGACCTCGGGGGTCAGCTTCAGCGACGCCAGGTAGTCGTAGAACGAAACGACAAAGGCGTACAGGACGTTGCGCAGTACCTGGATCATGGCATGCGCCTGGCGCTCGGTCGCCTGCACGACAAACTCACCCCGGACCACTGCCGGTCCCTGCCTCTGGCTCACGCAGCGCTCAAGCTCCGACAGGTACCCTAGTATCGTCGCCAGAATGCCAGGCAGGTCGCCCTGCACCACGCCGTACGAGTCCTCGGTCAGCGACGCCTCAACCAACCGCATCACGGAGCGCACAGCCCACACCTGCTGCTGGGAAGTTGCCAAACACCGCCAATGAGCCTGGCCTGCGGCGTGCGCGCCAGCAGCTTGGTTCCAAGCGGCGACTGCACCAGCATGTCGCGCAGCTTCGTCAGCACGTACTTTTCGAATCCCTGGGCCTCGGGGCCAAACAGGTCCAACGACGTGGCCTTGGGCGGCACGTTGTACCCGCCAATCAGTCCAGACGGGAGAGGCGGCTGCAGCTGCGGCTCCTCTGGTTTTGGGCGTCCGCCACGCCGCAGAATGTCTCCCATCGGCGCATTGCCGCTGCTCAGTGCCGTGGTCGTTGCCTTGGGCTTGACAGCATCCACCTTGGGCTTGGCCACATCGACATTCTGTGCTGCCAGCTGCGCCCGCGCCGTTTCAACCACTGCCAGACACTCCTTGGAGACCTGCGACCACATTGAGCCTGAGCTACGATCAATGTCCATCAGCAGCTCTGCCCGCTGCGCTGGACGGAACATCGCCAGGCGGTACAGCTCCTGGAATGCCAGATGCTGGACCAGCGGGTTACCAGTGTGCTTCAGCCCATTGACCAGGCACATGTTAGAATCACGGCTCATCTCGTTAATGCGCGTCGGCTGCGTGGTGATAACCTCATACAGCTGGTGGTCAGCTCCCATACGAGCACCGTCAGCGTGCCGCTGTACAGCCAGAACCCGATAGCGCTGGGGCTGAGCAGCGGGTTGCCGACCGCATATGACGATGTGCGCATAATACGTCCAATCACCGCGCACGCCCCGCGGTAAAACCATCCAGCCAGTCACAAAGTACACGGGCCAGAACCATGCAATCGAGCGCCGCGCAAACCGGACCACCTTCAGAAAGCTCTCGGGGATGCGATCCTTGAATGCGTACACACGCCCTTGCTCAATCATCGGGAACGACAGTTGCAGACGCTCGTCGGCCATCATATGCACCGCATATGCCAGTCCACTCGCTGTCGCCAGAACCCCGACGCTAGCCATGCCGGATTCAGCTGCGGCGCCCCGTAGAAGCCCTCGGGATACAGCCACATCCTCGACACACTGCCGCCCATCACCACCCGGTGCGCAAACAGCATGATATTCGCAGAAAACATGTACCAGAGCATCACCAGCAGTGTCCGCTCCGGGCTCCGTAGCAGCCGCTGAAGCCGCGCAAACCCACCATTCCCAGGCACGCGCTCCACATAGCACAGCATCGAATGCAGCGTCAGCACACCGAGCCCAACAACGTATGCAAGGATGGTATACAGGAACGTGCCTGATGAAAACATTGCGTATAGAAGGCACCATATGCCGTGTCTAAGGTTGATATTTGCTAGCACTGCGATTCCATACGCCAGCGCCAGCTCGTATACCATTGCGCGTACTGTGCGCTGCCGGAGAACTGAATCACCAAGCGATGCGAAATTGACGGACGCAATGCCTGTGTTGAGCACAGTTCCGTACGCCATGCTGTGTTTTCAGAGCTGTGATGTGATTTTGAATTATTGAATGTGAGCAGAAGCAAAGTTTGCAGACGCGCGCGATTTTCGGCACAAATTGAAAAAAATAAATAAAATAAAAAAGCACAGCGGTACACAATGGCAGGTGACTCGTGCAAGCCGAGCCGGCTCAGGAGCATGCACATCGAACCTAAACAGCATAGACGCTGTCAACACCGCAGCGGTTTTCAATAACCCATGTGCCAGACTTATGCCGTTTGCGATGCAAGCTCAGCTAGTCAGTATGGTTTAGACAGTCGATAGTGTTGCAGAGAATCTGTCACAGGGCTTCACAGCCTATGGCTAACACAGTAGCTGCCCAGAAGACTTAAAAACACATTTGTTTGCATCTTGTTTAGGGCTGCTTGTAGTCTGGGTGGCAGCAGAGCCATCGGGGCAGGATCAGTAGCAAAATCATGCAAGAGCCTTGCCTGTCTGGCACAGCAGGAGGTATGTGCCCACAAAGAGAGCCCGATGCAACCAGCCTGTAGGTATGGCATAGCGACGTTTATCGCGGAAGGCTGCAGAACAAAAGCAGTGTTTCATCTCAGTGCCCAGGGCAGGCGATTCTTGCGTAGTCAGATGTATCCATCGAGTGGTTGCCAATGCACATCACCGAGTCGAGCCCCGAACCGAGGTATGCCATGGCTGGCAGCCACAAAGATTAAATAACGGAATGTAAGGGAGGGGGTTGTACGGAACTCGGAATGTGTGGAAGGGGTGAGGTATTAGAAAAGATGGATGACACAGGAAGGGCCACTTCTATATGTAGGATATGTATTGGCCAGCAAGCCAATGGTTCCTTTTTTGAGCACTCTCATAAACCAATGAGACCGATTGCGGGCCGTGCAGACAGCCCGTTATCACCCACAGACTTAAGCCCATGGTTCCAAGTCCGAGCGTCGAGGATATGGAAGCTGGGTGGTTTGTTTATTACATTACTGCATCTACAAAATGCGAACTGACATGAATGGTACTTTGATAGAACTAAGGTTCTGGGACCGATATTTCGAGTGCTTTTAAGACATGTATTTGTCACCTTAGGGTCTGAGCTCATCGACCAAAAGAGAGCGCTGTTTGCTGAGTTTACAGAGCGTACCACGCATACTCGTTGTGAGGCTCAAAAGAGTATGAATCCCCTCAATCAACAACGCTCTGGTGGACGGTCGGACACTATTGGACTATTATAAAATCTTGTGTGAAAGTAAAGGTATACCGGGTTCTAAGCTGGCTCAAATGGCATACTCGGCATACTCGGCCTCGTACTTGATCACGCCGTGGTACATGATGGCGTCGACGCCATGCGTCTTCTGCTGAGCGCACATCTGCTCGTCACCGTTGTTGGCGCCAAACGATATCAAGAAGAGTCCATTGTTCTTGACACTGGCAATCAGCGACGGGACCCGCGTCAGTAGCGCGGCATCGCACATGATGCCGAGCAGGTTGTTGTCGCAAGCAAATCTGACCGACTCCTTCAGCGACAGGTGCTGGGGCCGCGCGTTGAGGCTCGGCGCATCCACTGTGGCTGGGTCCAGTGGGTGCCGCCCAGACGTCAGAATGAACACGGCGTAGTTGGGCTGCTTCCAATTCAGGGCCATGCACACCTGCGAGCTGTACGAGCAGAGGATGATGTTGCGCTGGCCCGTATCCTTGCGGTACAGGTCGTTGGCGACCCGCTCGAGAATGCTGGCGCTCGCATTGGGTGCAGGCGGCTGTGTGCGCGCCCGCTTGTGCGAGTCGTCGTAGACGGTCTTCAGGATCGAGTCAATGTAGTCGTTGACGTCGCAGCCGCCGAACCGCAAACCGCTGGAAATTGCATTGCCTGGCTTTTGGTTCGTGCTGTACATGACCTGAATGCTAAGGCCGAGCCGGATCGGCAGCATCTCAAGCACCTCGCGTAGCGTGAACCCGGCGTCCCGGATGTAGCTGTGCCATGCCGACGCCGACGAGTCGCCGGTGGGCTTGGTACCGGCTTGCTTGATCATCCGCACAAACTCGGTGTGCCGGAGATCGCACACCCGCACGGAAATGCTCGAGTCGCCGCCGGTCTGGATGGTCTCGCGCGGGCAGACAACCGGAACTCCGTCCATGCACACCTGCACCTGGACACACACGTGCTCGGGCGCCAGCGATGACGAGACTACCAGCGACATGCCGGCATCACTCTGTCCGCTGGGTCCTACTGACTCGGCGACAGAGTGCGGCGACCCAATCAACGCGCTGGCTACAGTTGCACCTGGTGTGGTAATAGTGTTTAGGCGTGGCGACAGCCCCACTGTCGGAGTCAGGCTAGGATTCGGTCTTGGCGCGGGGTTAGTCGACTTCCAGTACGTCTCAACCTTGCCGCCAATTTGCAGCTGCGCGCCTTCAAACGGCCGGATCGCCAAGAATTCAAACGACACCTCGGCCACCAGCTTCAAATACCGGTCCAGCAGCGGCAGCCGTGCTATTCCAGCCGACGAGCTGGCAAACAGGCTGGGCAGCGCAATGGCCTTGCCCATAGGCTGAAGGCCAAAGCTCGGGTACAGCTGGAACTCTAAGCGGAACTGGCTCGGGTCGTCAGTCTGGAATCCAAACGTCGTCGACGGAGTCTCGAGTGGCAGCATGACAGTGTGCGGCACCATGCCGGCGTCGGGCTTGGCTATAACCACGAGCTTGAGCGAGATCATATCGCGATCGTCGCTGAAAGCAATGGGCGGGCCGCCGGCTGCACGATGCGTGTGCATGCGTATCTGGATTCGCGTGCGCTTGCCCAGAAAATTGTGTCCGTATATACGGAACGGAATCAGCGGCGGCGGCAGCGCCAGCGACGGGATTCCGTCGAGATCCAGATCGAGATCCATAGGCATGGGTGCATCGGCGGTTGCCGATTCCTTCGGCTGAGCCGCCATGCCTGCATCCGCCTGGGGCTGCTGGCTCTGCGCGGGCGATCCGCTGAGCAGCACGCCACCCATCTTTCCAGTCAGCTGGGACTGCACGTCGACATCACCAGCCGCCTCGGCGCTTGCTTCCTGCTTTGCTTTGGCCGCTTCGAGCAGCAGATCGACACACTCCATGTGGCCCTCATTAGCAGCATAGTACAGCGGCAACCGTGCTGCTTCGTCCTCGATGTCCAGGTCACAGCCGGCTTCAAGCAGCAGGCGAATGCATGCGGTGTTGCCCTCGCTCGCTGCGTAGAACACCGGCGTCCACCCCAGGTCCTTGTCGACCACGTCTACCGATGCACCGTGCGACAGCAGGAGTTTGAGAATGCTGGCAAACCCAGCACGTGCTGTGACGTGAGCTGGATGAACACCCTGCGCGTTGGATGCAATCTCAACCCCTGCCTCCAGTAGCATTACCACGATTGTCTCGCGGCCCATCTGGCACGCCAGAATAAGCATTGGGTGGTCGGGGGTGCCGTAGGCGGTCTCCCTGTCATAGTCGAGCAACAGCCGGGCGCACTGCTCATCGCCGTTGATAATTGCATAGTTGAACGGGTAGTTGCCATCGTCATCAATTGACCCGGCATCGCACTTTTGCGAGATCAGATGCGCGACGCAATCGGCGTGCCCGTTGATCGCCGCGTAGTGCACTGGTCGCCGGTCGTAGTAATCTGGGTCGTCCACACTGCAGCCTGCTTCGATCGCCGCCTTCAGAATTGCCAGTGATCCGTGGATTGCAGCTTCGTGTGCCAGCGTGCGCTCATTGATGTCATCGGCCGAGCGCAAATCTGCGAGACCCGTGTCGATGAGCTGCTGGTGTGTAGCCTGGTTTTTGAGCTCCGCACACGCACGCCACAGCACCCTGGTGACACAGGCGCGCTGCTCGTCGCGCCGCTGCAGCTTGTACAGCTCCAGGATCTCGACAGCAGCTAGGTTGGATTCCTGTGAAATGGCGTGGAAAAGCTCAGCCTCCATCCGATCGACTTGCACGCTGCGAGGCAGCCCGAGTCCTTGCAGCCCGCTGTCGCCAGCGCCAGCTGTAACAGATGCAGGCGCATTATCCGGCACCATATCCTCGCTATATGTTTCGCCAATCGACGGTGGCGCGGGTGCTGTAGAACCAATTATGGAGGTGGCATGCGAGAATGTGAGGTTCAGCGATGCCCGGAGCGACGGCGACGAGATCAGATCGAGCTGCGTCGGCAGCGCCGTGGGCGCCATCAGCTCGGTTTCCTCCAGCGCATTCTCGAGCTCACTCAGACACTGCGTCACTGTGTCCGAGAGTTCGGCAATCACATCCTGGTTGAAGCACGGCTGGACCTCGACCTGGCGCGCCAGATACAGCTCCTTTGTCGACGACTTTGACCGCTTGTCCCACTTTTTCAGGATCTTTCTGAACCCCGTGCCATTGATCTCGACAAAGTTCTGCAGCTTGTCTAGATCGTGTCGCGACTGCAGGAATGCCTCGCGCAGTGCCCGGATAGTCGCCGTGCGATTGCGTGGGCCGCGTGATCTCAGTGATCGCTGCTTGTCAATGAGCGACTTGAGCCGCACCTTGTAGTCCGCCTCTTTTTGCAGGTAGAACAGGTTGACTTTTTCGAGCTCACGGTCCAGCTGGAAGAAGAATGCCGCCTTGACCGTGTTCAGCCGCTGCTTGGCTGCCTCGGACTGGCTCACCCCGGGCGTCAGTGGTGCTGTGAGCTCGTTGATGATCTTTTTCAGGGACTTGTAGCTCATATAGTGCGCTGCCCACTCAGGGATGGTCTGCGCCTGAATATGCTTGCCGAACTATGAGCGGGAATGGCATTTTAGTTGGTGCTGCGTCTTCCCTGCGGCGGAATGCGCCCCCTTCCCCGGAATGCGACGCGCTACTTACCTTCATTGCGCTCGTAAAGTGTAAATAATGTTATTTGTAGGAGGATGCGGATGTGGGTAAAACAGGCCTGCCTCTTGGCTTGCTCTTGCGCTGGTATATTGTGAGCAACCCTGTGACTAGGGTTTCGCTGCGTGGTATCTGTGCTTGCGGGAGCTAAGGTAGTCGCGCTGAGCTGCCGGCAAATGGAAAGAATGGCCCTTCAGGAATGCAGCAAATAACGGGTACCGCAGCGTGGAAAGGGAGACCAAAGAAACGAAAAATACCAGAAACAGAGTGGTCTAGAAAGATAAGGCGACAAAAAGTGAGGAGCGTAGGGAAGAAGAAAAAAGGAAACACCTGCTAGGTGTCTGCTTCCCTCTGGCTAAAGAGGAGGGCAAAAACTATTGCCCGTTTTGCGAGGGAGGTGTTAACTCTGGGAGCCCGTCTACAGCACTCGATGAAGCACGTGTACGGTCGCTCCTTGACGTTTTTCTCTTCGCACCATGCCCAAGTGAAAAGGGTGACCCAACTCCACGCAGAGCGCCCCGGAAATCTTCGGCTGATTCTCGCCACGGCCGGTATGACCTGTCTACTCAGCAAGCATTCACGCCTTCGATAGAGCTTCAGGATCGCACCTGCAACAGCGCTGCTGCCAAGCAGCTCCAAGCCGTGGGAGGGCCAATATGTGGGCGATTGAATACTGCGTGGAATTAATCGCTGCCGGTGATATATCAAACGGCAATCAGGAACTGCCCGCTAATTGTCGAAGCTGAGGATCCCAGCAAAAACCCCATGTCGGGTGACTGGCGTACCAGGCGGTGCATTTGCGGAAGAGGGGGCGGCAGGCGTGTATGTGTCTCAGTGCAAAAACAGCCCGAATGATCCGCAAGCGTATAAAGCGGCCGGACCCCTGCTGAGCTCTGTTTAACCCTTTTTCTCCTTAACCGTCCAGGTTTTTTGTCCTCCTGTATATTTCCTCCTCACTTCCCCTTCTTGCCATTTGCACAGTGTACCACTGCCCTTTCGGCACAATTGCAAACACGCCTACCCGACACCAGCTGCCTCCCCCATGGATCCCAACGCAAAGACCGCTGATACGACGACTCCCGAGCAGCATGCGCAGATTCGCGACGCCCTGAGTGCAGCCCTGGCCACCAAGCCGCTGGTCGCGCAAGAGGCGTTCCTGAGATTCCCGAGCGCGGGCGATGGTAACGTACTGCTTACAAAAGCGACACATTTACTGCACCGACACTGCCATTAATGCCCGTTGTTTGCTTAGACTTGGAGGAGCAGAAAAACTCGACGCTGCGGCGGTTCCGCAGCCTGAGCATGAGCACCAAGGAGCACTCGGCGTGGACCGAAGACACAGTGAAGCGCAAGTATCCGATAGACAAGACCATCGAGCTGCACAGCTTCTCGTCGGACTTTGAGACTGCCGACCTGAACCAGATGCTCGAGCCCTACCAGCACCACCGCTGCGAGCGCGGCGGATACCGCATCAAGTGGCTCAACGACACCCGCGCCCTCGCTGTTTTCCGCCGCGCAGAGACAGGTATGTGTCCTACTTTTCATTCACTATTGCTGATTTCCCAGGTGCATGAGACGAGTGCTTTTTTATTCGTATTGTTGGCCTTGGTCTCTGGCGCTTTGTTGCTGTGGCTGTCAGCCGTCTGCTTTAGGCGATGAGACAGGACGGCGTTTGCTGGTTGAGTGTGGGGAGCAGAAACCGTCCCATTGTCGGTGCTTGGGACCGAAGACGACAATAGTGCCTCGCTTCTGCCCTCAATGGCCCGCCGACAACAGCCGCCCTCATGTTTTTCCAGGTATCTTCTGCAACAGGAAATTGCCAGAGGTTATTTTTAGCTTCTGGTGATTCTTGCCGATTGTCGTGCTTGTTCCAGGACTAACTAGTCTTGGCTGCTATGACGTGCGCCCGAGAGACAACCAAACGACTTTCTTGCTGCATGCGCAGTTTTTTTCCGTTCCTATTTTTATACCATGCCTATTTTTAAATCCCGCCCCCATATAGCCCGCCGTGTGCTGGACGATCTGAGCACCAGCCAGCTGGCCAAAGCCAAGCACTACGTGTTCCAGCCCAGCGATCTCGCCGACTTCAACAAAAAGTACGACCATCCGCGGTCCAACGCCACGTCTGCCACGGCCTCGGTCAACCAGTCTGAGACCGGTTCGCCGTACCCAGCCTTCGACGAGGAGCACATCCGCTACAAGTACCGCCCCGAGGTCACCATCGAGCTGCACGACTTCCCGTGCCCGCTCGAGACCACGGATCTGCAGAGGCTTTTTGTTGCATACAAGCGCGACGACAACATTGTGCGCATCAAGTGGTTCAACCGCAACCGTGCCATTGCTTGGTTCACCAGCCCCGGACTCGCCAAGCAGGCGCTCGAGGACCTGCGCACCAACGAGCTCGTGCATGTCAAGCAGTACCATTTTGAGGCATCGGACATGAGGTACTTCAACCCCGACAGCAAGATGGCTGACATCACCGGCTCGCCTGCTGGCACCCTGAGCCGTCGCCGCACGATCAGCGGAGGCAGCGGCCTGGCCCGCCGCAACACCGTCAGCGGGGCGTCGCACTATAACCGTGGAAAGATGTTTGCCGCAGCCAGTGCGCACAGCAACGCGGTGCCACCTATCCCGTCGGTGTTCAACCCCAGCGTGCTGGCACACAATGGTGCTGCGCTGGCGCATAACGGCGTTGCGCTGGCGCATAACATCAACGCTGTCGCCAATGGCGGTAGCGCCACAGCCAGCCCGATCCCGCCGGCCCGCCGTCTTCGCCGCTTCTCAAAGCCCACCGTCTAGAGCGGGCCGCCTTTTCCCAATGTCCTATTTTCTACTTTTCTCAAACTTCCAATTCTAAGTGTACTTTTTCCCTCAACATTCGCTATCTTTTAACCAACATTGCCTCCCACACATACCCTCTAGGCTCGGTGAACCGATATATTGTAGAAGCGCCTAGTTGAACACATCCTTGAGCGGATCCACAGGCAGCGGGTTCTCCTTGAGCCGCGCCTCGCGCTCCTGCTTGGCTGCCAGGTGGGCATCATACTTGGTCGCCTTCTGGTTGCGCACAGCCGAGCGCACAGCCGTCGGCGAAATGTACCTTGGGTTCTCGTACAGCGTCGGTCCGCCAAAGCTGCCCTCAAAGATGCGGATCAGATTCAGCACAAACCGCGGCCCAATCTCGACCAGCGTCGGCTTCGCGTCCTTCCCCATGTCGCCGCCGGTCTCCGGGTCCTTCTCGACAATCTGGAAGTTGCGGAACCACACGCGGTTGTCCACAATGCTGAACGTGTATACGTGGTCAAAGAACGGCTTGCTCTTGCGCGCGCCCTTCGGCACAGCAAATGTCTGTGTAAACACCTCCTTCAGCAGCTGCAGGTGCGGCTGCGAATCAAAGTTCGAGTCAAACGACAGGATCGGCCGCGAGCCCTTCAGGCAGTTGCCCGTCATCTTCAGCTCGTCCATCGTGTGGATGTTCTGCACGTGGAACTTGAAGCTCGGGCCCGACGGAGCGCGCGACATCCACAAATACAGGTCAGTGTGCTTCCGCGCCTCAAAGTAAAACACGTTGTTGCAGTTGTGGATCTCGGCCAGCTCGTTTAGCACGTCCATGTCCTGCTTCGCCTCGACCTTGGACTCCTTCTTCGAGTGCGGCAGCAGAGCCTCCAGGTCGTTCATCAGGTGCCGGTGCCGGAACGTCACGCCGCGGCTCGCCACCATCAGCACGCGCTGCTTGATGTTTGAGCGCTTGTCCTTCTCCTCAATGAGGTCCTCGACGTCCTTGTATTCTGTCTTTGCCGTCTTGTAGAGTGTTGCCATTGCTGCTGTATGAATTGAAATAGAAGGGTATTTTGCTGAGCAGGAATAAAAGAAGCGCGCGCCCTCAGCGATCCCAACACCAGCAACTTTTCCCAGCGAAAAAAAGTTTGAAAATTTTACTCATCACAGAAAATGGAAATCGAATCAAGATCAACGACCGGGAAGCCTGGGCTCTGCCGCATCTACTCCTCCATCTCGCTGGGCTTGATCATGCCCGGAATCGCCTTGGCCTTCTCCTTCTCCTCCTGCCTCTTGGCCTCGAGCTCGCGCTCTGTCTCCTCCAGGTACAGGTCGGCCACGTCGCCGGCGAACTCCTTGGTCTGGATCAGGAAGTCGCGCACATGCGTGCGGAACTTTTCAAACTCGTCGTTGAACTTGAACAGGCCCTCAACAAACACCTCGATCTGGCGCTGCGTCAGGTTGGAGAACGCCGTCGTCAGCAGGCCTGCCAGCGACTGGCGCACAAACAGGCTGTTGGTCATGTTGGCAAACTCGGGGTTCGACGGGTCAAACAGCGGCGCCGCAACCTGGTTCGACTCGATCAGGTGGAGCATGCGCGCCAGCACCATGCACTGGAGCCGGAAGCTGCTCTTGTGGTCGTTGTCGGTCAGCACAACAATGACCTCGTTCAGCAGCTCAACAAAGTACGTCTGGAAGAACACGTTCGAGATGTTGCGGTCGCTGATGTTGAAGTTGTTGACCATCTCCAGGGCAATCGTCAGCCCAATGTCGGCAATGTCGCGCAGCGTGTGCTTGAAGCCCCACATCACCGACATCACCATGAACCGGAACTGTGGCGGCGGCAGGTTCAGCGTCGCGTTGAAGCACTTCTGGTTGATCGTGCGCAGCAGCTGGTAGATAGCGAGACGGTGCTCCGGGTACTCGGTGAAGTCCTGGTTGATCATGCCCATTGTGCTCTCAAACAGAGAGTCAAAGATGATCGGGATCTTGTCTGTCATCAGACTGCCCAGCTCGTTGACAATCGTGTTCATCGTCTTCAGCACCTCGGCGTCGCGGGCAGGCGGCACGTTCTGCGCATAGTCAGCCAGCACGGCCTCGAGCAGCGGCGGAACCATGTTGGTGTTGACCGCCATTACCTCGCCCTCGCAGTGCTTGACGTACGTGTCGACCAGACGCAGCGTCTCCTTCTTGATCGTGCGCATGGCGCGAATGTCGGCGTGGCGCGTCACAATCTCGCCGCCCTGCGCAATCGACTGCGAAATGAGCTCCGACACCGCCTTGTACAGGCCCAGCATGTCCATGTAGATGCGCCCAATCTGGTTGATGAATCCCTTGCCAATGGCGCCGCACGCCGACACGTTAGTGCGCAGGATGTTGCCCAGCTGCTTCACAAGGTCCACGTTGCGCAGCTCGTTGATGTTGCTGCTAGCGCGGGTCACCAGCTGGTCCCACATGGCATTGGAGGGCTCCATCAGCCCAGTGATCAGCTCCGCCTGCGCCTCGGCGTTGATCTGGGCGCTGATAAGGTAGCCAACGGCCTCGCTGAACCGGTTGACCTGGTGCGGCTCGAGATCCGACGTGATCGCGTTCTGGTTCAGGATGATGTCCTCGACAAATGGACGCTCCTCGCCGGGCTGATTCACGATAAAGTGGCGACGGCACTTTTGCGCAATCGTCACAAACGTGTCGCACGCCATGTCGCGCACACCCTCGTGCAGCTCGTGCATAAACTCAAACAGCTTGTTGGCGACCGTCTTCAGGAACTTCCAGTGCGCCTTCAGGAACCGCGGGTACTGGCCGACCACATACATAATATTCGACGCCACGACCGCCTTGTTGTCCTTGCCGCGCTTCAGCTCGCACAGGCTCAGCAGGTCCTTGATGATGATCACCAGCACCCGCCGCTCCTGGTCCTCACCCATCGAGCCCGAGATCGAGCCGATGGCCCAGCACAGCTTGTTCAGATTGTTCCACGACCACTCGCTGCCGTCCATCTGCTTGCTCAGCTTCTCAACCATGATCTTCTCCATGTCCTGCGAGTCCAGGTGCGTCAGGTAGATCAGACACTCGCGCTGCGCCTTGTACAGCGTGATCGTATCTGTCTCCTTGATGAACTCACGCACAATCTCGCCCTCATCGTTCTCAACAATAAGCACCTCCTCGGGTCTTGCCATGCGATCGATCATGACGTAGCGCACGCCGGTCAGGACCTTGGAGTACATCTGGCGCCGGAGCTCAAACGAAAGTGATCCCGTGTTGCCATTGCTGCTGTTGGTGCCCAGGTTCAGCAGCCCGCTGGAGCCGCTGAACGACGAAGTACGGCCGTCCTCGTACAGCCCACGCACCAGCATGTTCCAGTACTCAAGGCAGACCTTGAAAACCTCGCGCTCGTCGATCTGGGAGATGAGCAGCAGGTACTGGTGAGCCTGAATCACGTCGTCGCGCTGCGCCTGCGCCTCGACCAAACGCAAGTGGGTGGTCAGGTAGCTGGTCAGGAACAGGCCCATGTTCTGAATAAAGCCCTGCTCAACGTCGCCATAGCTATCCCAGCTGGAGGCCATGTCCGGGTTCGGCCCCATGATCTCGCGCAGACCCGCAATCGCCATCGTAAACAGCTGCACAAAGCGCGCGTTATACTGATCGCTGCCGTCGCTCAAGCCGCCGATCTCAGTCAGACACTTGATTGTAACGCTGCGTGTAATCTCTGGGCCCAGGAAGCGTGTGCACAAGTTGTCGATCAGGTCTGTCTCAAAGATGTATCCGAGCGGGACCCAGCTCAAGAATCGCAGCAGTGTCTCCAGCGTAGCATTAATCAGGCTGGGCTGCACCGCCTTCTGCAGGATCTCGTTACAGAGCGTGTAGATCGAGCTGAACTCGCCGCACATCTGCTGCTTGAGGTTCCTCGTCTTGGCCTGCGTCATCTGCTCGGCCGAAAAGTCAAACACCTCCTCACTGAGCAGCTTCAGGATCGCCATGTTGTTTTCGCACAGCGACAGGTTCGACCTGCTGGTCTGCACAATCTCTGGGATAAACGACGGCCAGTTGTGCGGCCACTCCTGCTTCAGAATCTGGACAAGACTGAGATTGATCTTGTTCAGGAACACCCGGTTCTGGCGCAGCGACTGCTCAGTTGATGCTGTCTTCAGGATCACTTCAACAATAAAGTTTTTGATGCCGTTGCGCTGGTCCGCAGGCAGAATCTTCCACCGTGTCTGAATGAGCTTGTCCAGCACCTGCAGCGCAATGAACTTTGACTGCACCGAGCTGGATACTGTCAGAATTCCATCTGCCCGGGTCCATGCCAGCTCGTGATCCTTGAACTCGGTCAGGACCTGCTGGGCCATCTTTTGCTACACGCACAAACTGTGGGTTATTAATCAAAACAATCGCCAGGAGGTGGAATAGGGTTGGGTTGGGCCGGGCCAGGGTTGAGCTGCAAACTGTTGTCACAACAAAAACAACTAAAAGCGATTTTCTCCCTGGCACAAATAGAACCAAGTGGAACACATACCTCATCGCCTCTGCCGGTGAACAGCGCGTCAACAACGCGGTCAAACAGCGGGACATCAAAGTCGCGGTTAAAGTCAAGAATCGCCTACAAGCGGACATTATCAATGATGTTAGCAATGTGTCGTCACAAACACGCAGTGTCGGACGATGCAGATATTGGACCTCCCACGCAGGGCTTACCTCCATTTGCCTTCAAGCCAAGAGCGCTCTCCTCGCTGGTGAGTTTGGGTGTTGGAAGGGAGGGCTGGTTAAAAACAGTCTGTAGCGGAGCACGCGCGTGTGATGGTGGACCTGCTGATATTTTTTGGTCAGTGAGGCCAGGCAATAAATTGAAAGAGGGAAACGTGATTAGGGTGAGCACAGAATGAAAGAAAAACAGACACACTCGTGCGGGTGGGGTGGTTCTCGAGTGGCTAGGGAGAAATAATAATATAAAATGGTTTGTGGAAGTTTGCTCAGCTTTTCCAGAGTAGTAATAGGGAGAGAGAAGAGAAAAGTTGGCCGGCCAGTGCTGGTTTTCGAGCCTGAATTTTTATATGGCACTCGCCGAGTGTCGTAAGTCGACCTTTCCGCCCCCAAAAAAACTGCCAGAACCCAGGCCTAATTCCACAGGCCTTGATCAGACCTGAAAAATAATCTGCGATGATTCGGGGCCA